TTAAAATGAGATGTTTATCTTGTATTTGATTATATTTATCTGCAGTTAGTTACACGAATTTAGATATGAAGCTTTAATAAGTTGTACTCACGCACAATCTACTTGTAATCTTGAGTTTTAAGTAATATGCATTAATAAACAGTAATTTATGCATAAAAAGTGGTTTTTAAGAGTTTTTGTCAAATGCTTTATAATATAGTATAGACTAGAAGGGTACTCGCATAGACTAGAAGGGTATTCACACAATGCAACAAGATGAATCTTCATTTTAATGTCTACTTTTTATTCTTTATCTCTATCGATATAATACAATTTTTTATGGTTTTGAGAAAACGATAATGTTTTTATTATTTGAATGAAATATAAATTTGAAGATAACATAAAAATTTGAAAAAAATAAAATCGATATTAGTATCAAATTAACTATATAGTAGTTATCGTTTTTTGGTGTAACTTATTTAATTCAATTCTTTATTATAATTTAATTTAGATTTATAATAAAGTAATTTATATTTGATTTAATAATATAATTTTTTATAGAGATAATAATATAATTTTTTACACAGATTTTTCCCCTTTTCCCCTTTTCGATTTATGTCTAAACTATGAACACAGATTAGGTTAAATCATTCACTTTTGACATAATAGGTTGAATATACATGACATGTATTTATCCCTATCCCTATATACTAGTGTGAAATTAATAATCGGTGAATGTCTATGTACAACCACTATTTTGCTTCTGCTTACAGTATGTGCATGGAAAACTATTTTGCTTCTCCTTCAATTTTATTTGATACTTGTTTGAATGAAAGAACAAGGGGTAATACTTTATAAAATTTTGTCTTCTCTCTCTTTCCTCCTCTGCCCGGATCCATTCCTATGAATCTATAATGGTGGTGATAATTTTGCCATACATACAGTTCGATGATTGCATAATACCATAACTGGTGTGTTGTTCATTAAATTTTAGTTGTCTTCACTATATACCCTAGTTCACCCTTCAATGAAGATCTTATTTTCATTGCTAGCTCTTTTGAGTAAGGATACCCAATACTACTGCTGTATCTTGGCATCTGTTTCTTGGTGTGCTTATGGATGATGCTTATCTATGAAGTTTGATGTTTTTTCTTGATTTAGCATCAATTAATTAATGCAAGAAATGCCAGTAAATCCACTTGAAAATGACGGTGAAGTGGATGAGGGAACCGGAGACCATGGAGTCGAAGACGGAGATAATATAAATGTTGTTGGTACTTCAAATGAGTGGACGACATTTAGGGACAATTTAGCACAATCTATGTTTGCTTCTTGGAATGCTACCAATTAATTTGTATGATTCAAATATATGTTTAACTCATCCTTAATGTTTGTTTAACTCATACTTGCCATGTTTGTTGAAAGCTAATGTTTGTTTTGTAATTAAATGTCGTTATACTTTTCATTCATTTATGTTTGTAGGTATGACGAGTCAAAATAGAAATTATAGAGTTTGGACGAATTTTGAAGAAACAAAACTCGTTGAAGCTTTACTTACTATGATGAATACGGGAGCATTTAAAGCCGATAATGGCTTTAAATCGGGTTATTTAACATTTCTTGAACAATCATTAAAAGAATCTTTGCCGGGCTCCGGGATTTTAGGGAAACCACACATCGAATCAAAGTTAAAAATAATGAAGAAAGATTGGACTATTGTGCATGACATGATAAATGGTTCATATACTAGTGGCTTCGGATACGATAGTGYGAAGCATTGTGTCGTTGCGGAAGACCAAGTTTGGGAGTCGTATCTTCAGGTACATGCTAAAAAGAACTTGCTATTTATATTTGCATAATATATAATCATAGTTATATGTATATTTAATAATTTCTATTATGAAATAGGTCCATAAAGGGGCGGGAAAATGGAAGAACAAACCATATCCTTTTTATGAAGACCTTTGTATTGTATTCGGAAAAGATCGTGCCACAGAAAATAGAGCAAGAGATTTTGTTGAGGCGGAACAGGAGGCGCGTACAGAAGATTAAACACAACACATGAATGACGAGTCTGATGACGTAATGGCAACTAGCAATGTTCAAGGTGAGAATGCAAATATGCAATCTGAAGAAACTTCAACTGCGCTTCGTAAGAAGAGAAAACGTCGAGTAGATCTCATGGGTGATGGATTTAGTAATGCGGTTACTAAACTTGGAGAAACTTTGGAGAAAATGGCGAACAAACTTAGCAGGGGTGTAGAACGAGAAGACGAACTTGATACGAAACGTTCGATGATCACTCATGAGATATTAAAAATGCAGATGTTGGCCCAACGGGAGAAGTTTAAAGCAATTTCATTGATAAGAGACGATCCTGAAAAGGTGAACACGTTTTGGGATTTGCAAGAAGCGGATAGGGAAGCTTATGTCGACTGGGTTTTAAATGGATGAAAATTTTGGTGGGTAAATATGTGGTTTTGAAAGAACAAGTTGGTAGTTAAATATGGGTAAATTTTGGTGGATAAATGTGTGCTTTTGAAAGAACAAGTTGGTAGTTAAATGTGGGTAAATTTTGGTGGGTAAATTTGGTGGGTAAATGTGTGCTTTTGAAAGAACAAGTTGGTAGTTAAATGTGGGTAAATTTTGGTGGGTAAATGTTTGCTTTTGAAAGAACAAGTTGGTAGTTAAATTTGTATTTTGGATTACCGAGTTTGGTGATTAAATATGTGTTTTGGATGAAAATGTTTGTTGATTTAATATGCATTTTGGATGAACATGTTTGTTGATTAAATATGCATTTTTGGATGAAAAGGTTTGATTGTTAAATTTTTAGGTTTGTTGGTTAAATAGATAGATTTAAGAAAAGGAAAGAGATTTGGTGATTAAAATAATTACAAAAAAAAATCTCAATCCAAATCCAAATCCAAATCCTACAAACCAAACAGATGAATGGATTTCAAATCCAATCCAAATCCTGCAAACCAAACACAGGAATGAATTTTAAATCCTAGGAATCCAAATCCCATGGAATCCAAATCTTTCCTGAGAATCCAAATCCCTCAGAAACATTCTTGTAAACCAAACGCACCTTTAATTATATTTTAGGTTTTTTATATTTAAAATGAATGTTTATCATGTATTTAACTATGTTTATCTGCAGTTAGTTACACAAATTTAAAAATAGAGCTTTAATAAGTTGCACTTACGCAAAATTACTTGTAAAATTGAATTTTTAAGTAATATCCTTCAATAAACAGTACTTCATGCATAAAAAATAGTTTTTAAGAGTTTTTGTTAAATGTTTTATAATATAATATAATATATATATATATATATATATATATATAGGGGCTGGTTCAAATACTAACCCAATATTTTGTACTAACCATGCTAACCAACATCAACCAATCACATTTCTTCTTTTTGTTTGGTTCAAATGTAACTCCCTTATTAATGATAGGGGTATTTAGGTCATTTTCAATCTAATGTAACTCCCAAATATTTAAATGGTAGTTACAAATCTTAAAATTATACTAAAT